TATTTGTCATTTTTGATCATATCAAATACTCAAAATACTTACCAAACAAACATAGCACGAATTTGAAAACGTCACGTACTTATTACTGAGTATAGTGATACGCTCAAAGTTGGCACATTATACACTCATTTTCGAGCAAAATGAATAATCTCAAAATTGACTCCTCATATATTCTCTATTTCGCCGACCAGGTGGCCGAGTGGTTAACCTGTCTGATTGCGGAGCTGATGGTTGCGGGTTCGAATCCCACTCAGGATATGGATGTTTCTTTCTCTCTGTGTTCTATGTCCTGTCCTTTCTTCTGTGTGATTGTGTGAATATGACCAGCCCTATAAACGGGCGTATGGTTGTGTGACGTAAGCTCCAGTGCGACGCAAATGAACTACAACTACAACCTTCTCAGATGAATTGTTAGAACCCCTGTCGGGGCTGATGTTAAGATAACCACCACATATGAGAATGAATAAGGTTATCGAAATTCAAGAAAGCAATGCACAAAATTTCAGATTTTTTGGAAAAACCATAAATTGTGACACCGCAGGATTCAATGAAATTTTTACTTTTGAAAACTTAAGAGAAGACATAAACCTCAGGCCGATGGCAGCTCATTTTTGTAGTGAGGTAATTTTAAATAAAATACAAAATATTTAATTTCCTTATACTCCAATCGCATTCCAATTACCAGAAAGAACCACCTTAAAGATCACAATTCAAGATGAATGGGAAAAAGTGCGTTAACGGCCCCAGGCGCCCAGATATATTTTGATGATGATGATGATGAAGAAAGCAATGCAGAGGAGCCTGTTGCCTCTCCGAAGAAGAATTGAATGGAGATTCTTAAAAGAATGTCCGAAAACAAAATTAAAAGTTTTATATATTTGAAGGTGTTTATATTTTTTAAACAATTATACGGGTCAGGGATGGCCTGGTCGGTAGGGCGCTGGGCCTATGTCCGAGAGTTCGTGGGTTCGAACCCCACCGGCCGAAGACTCCTCGTGTAGTAGTTGGTGACTGGTGCACGTTAAATCTGTCGAATCGCAAAGTCCTCCGTGTTCCCATAAAAAATCAATACCTCTGGGGGTACTGGATTGGAGATTGATCGTTCTCTGATGCAGGTCAAAATGACGATCTGTGGATGAATGAATAGATATATGAATAGGTCCGCCCTATAAACGGGTGTGACGTATGGGTGTGGCAGAAGTCGAATTCTTGGCCAAAGATGGCACCCCTCTGCCTAAACAGGCATACGTCGACAACAAATGATTGTACATAAATATGATCTAATAGTTAGGAACAGTAAAATATCTAAAATTCAAAGTATTTAAATTCCTTTAACTTCAATTGCACTCCAATTACCAGCTAGAACCACCCTAAAGATCACAATTCAAGACGAATGGAAAAAAGGCCGCTAACGGCCCCAGGCGCCCAGATAAATATTGATGATGATGATGATGAGCAGTGAAATATTACACGCTAAAAAGTAAAATGTTGCAGGTAGCTAAAACATTCTTATCTGGAATAATTTTCACAAGATTTGACTCAACTAAGGTGTTAACTGTTCTATCAATGAAATATTTAATATACTTGTTGTTGTTGTTGTTGTTGTCGTTAATTTACGTCGCACTAGAGCTGCACAATGGGCTATTGGCGACGGTCTGGGAAACATCCCGGAGGATGATCCGAAGACATGCCATCACAATTTTGATCCTCTGCGGAGGGGATGGCACCCCCGCTTCGGTAGCCCGACGACCTGCGCGCGAAGTCGAGCACTTTACGGTAGCACAGTTTAACAAGGACCAATACCGCACACCCTCGGTCCCTACGCAGACTGATCCAAGTGGTCACCCACCCGCACACTGACCGCAGCCAGTGATGCTTGACTTCGGTGATCTGCTGGGAACCGCGTCTTAATGATCAGTCCACTGCGGGACCAATATACTTCTATTAAACTATTGTATGGAATGCTCATTGCATGTAAACAATATCAAGTCGCCTAAAACAAGAAGAAATTTAGAAAACTTACGGTGTATTACTCCGCTTATGCTATGCTTGCGAGGTAATGTGTGTGCAGGCTTTATATTCTAGGAAGTTTTATTATTGTGATTTGCGTTTCAATTTACGCGTACCATACATAGGAGTTTCTGTAATATGTGTTGTTGTTACTAATGCTTCATTACTTAACAACAGCTAGATATGGTCCATGAGTCCATGTATTCTAGCAAAGTCAATTACAAGAAGTGGAGATGATTCCGTAATTTATAAATTCAAACAGATCGTGAGCCTTGCACGTACGATATTTTACAAAATTAATACCAGATTAAGATTCTAGGTAAGTTATGCCATTAAATGAGTCGCTCAGAAGCCAATGCGGTTAAGTCNTTAAAGAATCTCCGAAAACATAATTAAAAGTTTCATATATTTCAAGATTTTTATATTTTTAAACGATTATACATAAATATGACCTAATAGCAGTGAAATATTATACTCTAAAAAGTAAAATGTTGTAGGTAGCTAAAACATTCTAATCTCGAATCATTTTCACAAGATTTGACTCAACTAAGGTGTTAAACTGTTCTATCAATGAAATATTAAATATACTTCTGTTAAACTATTGAATGGAATGTTCATTGCATGTAAACAATATCAAGTCTCCTAAAACAAGAAGAAATTTAGAAAACTTACGGTGTATTACTCCGCTTATGCTATGCTTGCGAGGTAATGTGTGTGCAGGCTTTATATTCTAGGAAGTTTTATTATTGTGATTTGTGTTTCAATTTACGCGATCCATACATAGGAGTTTCTGTAATATGTGTTGTTGTTACTAATGCTTCATTACTTAACAACAACTAGATATGGTCCATGAGTCCATGTATTCTAGCAAAGTCAATTACAAGAAGTGGAGATGATTCCGTTATTTATAAATTCAAACAGATCGTGGGCCTTGCACGTACGATATTTAACAAAATTAATACCAGATTAAGATTCTAGGTAAGTTATGCCTTTAAATGAGTCGCTCAGAAGCCAATGCGGTTAAGTCAAATACACAAAAATTTAATGTTTTTTGATTTTAAAATTTTTGGTTTATTAATTTAATTAGAAAAGTGTATAAAGTCTTTTTTCGAGGTGTAAACTCTGCAAAAAAACAAGATATGTACAGGATGTGTAAATAAAAACGTAAGTATTTATTGAAATAATGACAGCATCTTAAAAATTTTAGGACTTATACCTTTAGGCAGCTGAAAAAGATAAGAAATATATATAGTCTACTAGTATAAACAAACTTTTATTTTTCACTATCATCACTAGATACAGTGACTAATAGAAAATAAACTGTTGGATTATTTCAAAAAATGTTTTTCACTTCAAAACTAGAGTGGCACTTTTCTTTGTTTCAGGAAATGAAAATAAAATAAATAAAAAAAAAAACTAAAAATACCACATTTTAAAAAAAAAATATTACGAAAAATACCATACCTCTTTTTTTGGTGAAAAAATACTACGTCTGGCAACCCTGAGTTACTATGAATTTCTTGTTTTTCAGTGTTACCAACAAATATCGAAAGAAGAAGAAGAATTTAATTTTTATTTCAAAGTTTATGTTAAAAAATATTGATAAAAGGTGGACTTATTCACAATGGCTTCTGAAATTATTATACAACATATTCAGAAGCTATTAAAAAAAGGGCTGTTTGACCTAGAAAAAAGTAACCAACGAGTAAATCCTTTAATAACTAAGAAGATTATTATTTACTTCATCAAAATTTCCAAAAATCAGAAAATATCAAAAAATGGACTTAACCGCATTGGCTTCTGAGCGGCTCAAATATTAGTGTAATATGGGTTAAATGCTGGCAAATGTTTTCGTTATTTAATTATATTGTATAACTGTTGTAAACTATCGAAGAAATATTTTATTTAAGGGGTCATAGTATCTTTGCAACAATTTCTTTAAATAAAGGTATAATCATTCATTTTGTGGATGCTTTACATGCTCATTTAACTTATAATCAATAATTTATCTTCAAATTTTTTAAATTTTAAAAAAAATTGAAAAAATTTAAAATTTTTAAATTTTTAAGGCTTTTTTATTCTAACACATTTTCAAAATTTGTTTTCTTAGTGCTAACTATATTCATCTTAGCAATTTTGTGCATTCATTTGTTGATATATCAATTAGAATATTTTTTACAGATTATTTTGTAAAAATGTAGAAAAAAAGGGTTAAAAATTCTTGTTAGGTATATATAACATGCTGTAAAAATTGTAGTACCTCATAAAATGCTTATTCCATGCACAGTTTAAATAAGTGCATTATACTTAATGTAAAAAAGTTTACTTCGAATCTTTATCTTAACACTAAACATACCAACACTTTTCAATACAATACAAAACAACATACAAAAACGGGTCTTTTGACCCGTTATGGTATGATTAGTGTTAAATAGTAAAAATTTCTTAGGGATTTAGTTAAGATTATAACACAAAACTATCTTCTATGAGAAAAAGTACTTTAAATTCTGATTGCTGAGCACGTTTCTGTGTTAGGACAATCTAAAATCATTCATAACTTTTTTAAAAATGTAGATCGAGAGATAATTTTTTTCAGTGCATTTGAAATAGTTTGAAGTCTTATGATTACCAATAAATATTTAATTACCAATAAATTTAAAAAGCAAAAATTGTTTTCCCTAGATACTACTTTTTCGCTTAACCAGTATCGAAGTTGCGAGATATTGTTTATATTTATGTTTTCTCGCTACTGTTGTATTATATTATTTTCGGAAATTGTAAGAATATATACTGTCTGTACTAGTACTGCACAGTGGAGTACTTTATTTCGTAATGTGCGTAATTTTGTTGTTGTTAAAAACTTATTTTAGAATAGATTAACGTTGTCCTCCACGTAATCATTTTTTCCATCAGTTCAAACTAGAGCTTGAAATGTAAATGATTATAGTTTAAAATGTTCGTGTCGTATTTTCACGAGATTAGAGTTTGTTTAACGTCGTTATAAGATCGTAAATAAGAGTCTAGCCGCGATCTTGTTTTTTAATTATTGGATGTTAATAACGGCTAGAGAGAGGGAGAGTTTCGGATTCTAAATTTAGAGGATTATGACGCCTACGTACTTCGTGTATCGAGAGAGGGGATTTGGTTTTGACTCGCCAGCGATCTCGTTTTCTGCCAAAGAGAGAGCACTTCGGTGTGTTCCACACACGCACCAGGAAAGTGTTGGAACCAACACAAGAAATGGACTACTACGATATTTATGTATGTACTTTTTTCATTTTTTGGATCGTTTTCTTTCCTCTATTAAATTATGTTGGAAACAAATCTTTAAATAGAGTGTAGTTTCTGTTTATATATCGACTTAAATCTACTCAGTAATATAATATCGACATAAACTTCGAAATTGCAGAAATCAGGAGAAAAAAATGCATAAATTTGCTGCGAACTTTTAAATATTGGAGCATTTCTATTTCCGCTATCAAATTATGTTTTAAACAAATCTTTATCTATTTAAACAAATCTTTACAAATATAGTATATCAACTGTGGTTTTTGTTTATATATCGACTTAAATTCACTCACTAATCGATCTAAACTTCAAAATTGCGAAAATCAGAAATTAGTTTCGAACTTTTAAATTTTGGAGCATTCTATTTCCTATTCTATGTTGGGAACAAATCTTTAGAGTACCACTGTGGTTGTTTATATGTTTATATATCGACTTAAATCCACTGACTTATATCGAACTAAAATTCGAAATTGCGGAAATCAGAAATTAGCTTCGAACTCTTAAATTTTGGAGCATTTTATTTCCTCTATTATATTATGTTGGGAGCAAATCTTTAAATAGAGTACCACTGTAGTTGTTTATATGTTTATATATCGACTTAAATCTACTCACTAATATTATAACAATCTAAACTTCAAAATTGCGGAAATCAGAAAAAAATGTATAAATTTGCTTCGAACTTTTAAATAGTGGAGCATTTTATTTCCACTATCAAATTATGTTTTAAACAAATCTTTAAATAGAGTACCGCTGTAGTTTTTGTTTATATATCGACTTAAATTCACTCAGTAATATTATAACGACCTGAACATCAAAATTGCGGAAATCAGAAATTAGTTTCGAACTTTCAGATTTTGGAGCATTTTATATCCGCTATTATGTTTGATACAAATCTTTAAATAGAGTGTAGTTTCTGATTGTATATCGAATTGAATCTACTCACTAATATAACTCAGTGGCACTCTATTAATATTAGTGAGTGGATTTAAGCAGGGTTTGATGATTTAAACTAACTGATTTTTTATATATAAATATATATATATGTTCAAAATGAAGAATAAAACAAAGAAAAATAATAGACAAATGAAAAAAAAAGGGGGAAATAATAAGTAAAAAAATAACAAACAACAGTTTTAAAAAAAAAAAAGTATGAAATTTTATTTAAAA